CCAGAGCCTGCGGCTCCAGCCCCAAGTCCTTGGCGATGCTGCCCACGAAGGAGCCCTGGTCGATCTCCTCTGGCATGGAGTAGCGGATCTGTCCAGCTCTGGCTTCCCACAGGGAGGCCCAAAGGGCGCACAGCAGGACCAGCATTCTGCACCCGGGCAGCTTCTTCGCCATTGCCCTTTTGCAGCCGAGTTTCCTTCAAAGCAGCTTCCAGCACCGTGAAGGAGTCCAGACCTTATCCTCCAGGGTCTGAGACTTCCAGGATTCACCGGTCCCAAGTCACCGAGGAGAGAGAACTAACGGGCGGGCGGCTCGGTTGAATTTCCTTGCATCCTCTCCGACCGGAAGCTGCGGACAAACCGCCAGCCCTTTGTGTTGTGCCAGCCCTTCAGAGTGATTGGTTGGCTGCCTTTTACTCCTTTATGGTCAACAGCGACGCTCAGAGGCCTACCCAGTTTCTGCACTTGCGCAGGCAAACCCATTTGATGTTCGCCTGTGGTTTTAAGTTGCTCTCAAAAACGACTCTTACATTGTATTACTTACAATATTTACTGCATTATTTACAGTAGAAGTAGGTATTTAAAGGGAGGGACTTTCTCATAACTAATAAGAATGGTGTAAATGTGTGTAACCCGAGAGCGGCTGCTTGAAAGTATTGCAGAATGTTTAAGGTTTAAACCAAGGGCTTTTGGCCTTGCGGCGTCACAGTCTCTCCCCTTTTTCTTACCTATGCTCACACAAAAGGGTCAGCATTAAAACATTGGATACATTTTCTTATAAGATATGTTTTAGAATTTTTGTGCTCTGTTGCTCAACATTTTTTCCAAAACTTGATATTTAAATTGTTGATCATCAGACACTTAACAGCATGCGTGCCTGACACACGGTTTGACTGGATCTTAGTTGGAAACTAGTTCTCAGAAACTTTCTAGGGTGGGGAAGATGTAGGAAAGTAGAGGGGATATTATTATCAATGCCAAATTTGGTGAAAAGCACTGAGCCCTGGGGACATGCAGAGGAAGGGGATCCAACTTATGTTTGGGGATCACAAAAAACCTTTCCTGAGCGCTACTTCATTTGGATCCTGACAGGTAGAATGGATGAAGAAAGAGGTTGGAGTATCACTGCAGAAACTCAGAACCAACGCTTGGGCTGGGAGGCAGCCAGGAACAACGTGGAGGCAGAAGGAGGCTACAGCTGGATACAGCTCGGGCAGACAGGGTGCTCTGCATTAAGAATCTCTCAAAGTTGTTTGAGATCGTTAAGTAATATGCCCCTTTCTGCATTTAGTGTTGCCTGGATGATGCCATGGGTGTCTCCTTACTCCTGTTTGGCTTATATATGCAAACGTATTCATATAGAATGCATTTATTTAAAAACACACTGAAATGTTTCAAGCACATAGACCACTATAGGAAGTAACAACCAAACTGTGTGTACATACCAGTAAGCTTTATTTAATTTTAACATTGTATCATATTTAAATGTTTATACCTCTTCTTTTGAATAATTTCAGAATTACAGAATGGTCACAAAAATAATACAAATAGATGTCATATATAGCAGCCGCTTGGTAGCTGAGGGGCTTGGTTCTGTATCTGAGGATGCTGGAGTCCCTTGTGTAAAATGATGTAAAATTTGCAAATGATCTGTGTACATTCTTCTGGGTAGTTTGTCATCTCACAATTATACATGCTGTCTAAGATAACATAAATAGTTGATATACATGTTTAGGAACTATGTTAAGTTTCCCAAATACTTTCAGTTTGTGATGTAGATGCAGGTTCATGCTGTTGGACTTAATGCACTTTACATACAAAGTTCACTGTATTCTATGCCCACATTACCCCAGGACTCAATGCACTTTACATTCAAAATTCACTGTATTCTATGCCCACAATACCCCAAACGTTAACATTTTATTTTCGTGCTCCCCATTGATTCCATGTAAGTTGCAGACATGATGTCCCTTTATTTTCTGATTCCTTTATTTTCAAACTATAAAATCAACTTGGCATTGATGCAGTTTCATTATCTAGCTTATAGCTCTTAGTAATAATTTGCCCATTGCTACAATGTCTTTTTTATAGCAAAAAATATTTTTCAGGTTTAGTATCCAGCCCAGGATCTTATGTTGTACTTCACAAAGTTTCTGCAGTGGCCAGAATCTGATCAGTTCCCTAGGCTTTACATTTCATGACTCTGAACTTGAAGATTTGACCAGTATTACTGTAAAACATTCTCCCTTGTTGGGCGTGTTAGATCCCTTCTCCTTAAGTTCAGATTGTGCAGTTCTGGTGGGAAGACATAGGAATAATCTTATCTCCTTCTCTGTGCATTTTCTTGGGAGCACATTGGTGTCTTTGTCCCAGTACTGTTTTTGTTAACTTTAATAATTGACAACATTCTAGAAATTTTCTAGTTATTTGTAGTTTTATCTATTGTAAACTTACAATTATTATTTATTGATTAATAATTAACTTGTCTAATCCTTTCTTTGCCTTTCTTCTATCCTTTACTCTTTCTTTCTTGATTTGTGGTTTCTTGGGGCTCTTTTGTAGTAAGTGTTTTTAAATTAATGACTATGAGACTTCCAACTTTCTTTTCAAGATTGTTTTTTTCTGTTTGGAGGGGTCCCCTGAGATTCTATATGTATTTTAGGGTGGGACTTTTTTCATTTTCATTTCTGCCCCAAATCCTTTTATTAGAGTTTTGATATGATGTCAGTGAATAGGTAGACTATTTTAGTTAATTCTGCACAGTTTTACTTATTTTATTTATTTTAACTGTTATTATGTATGTAGAGGAAGCCTGTTGAGGCAACAAGAGGACATGAGATCCACTGAAGCTGGAGCAGCAGGCAGTCGAGAACCTTTTGAGCCTTTCTGTTTGCTTGATCTATGCTTTCTTTGGGAATTATGTTGAAATCGGGTATTATTTTCAAAGTTGTGCTTTTAGGTGATGGGAGTTCATAATTTTCTACTAGCTTTACAACTCTTTCTTCTTTTTTTATAATCATGACCAAGTCATTTCTTAAATGAATTTCTTAAACACCATAACTAGTGCTTGTTGCCTTAAATATAACTTTATTTTTTATTAATGGTCTACAACATCTGCTTCCTTTTGTGCATGTGTGCACACAAATCTTTAACTTCAAAATTTCAGTATTTAAGAATCTTGTCAGTGGAATATAGATCTTTAAAAAACCAACCAATTCATCAATCTGTCTTTAAATTATAAGAGTTAAGAAAATGCAGAGATGAAATAATTGATTAGTTGAGAGTGTAGTTTGGTACCCAAGAAGAAAATAAAACTCCATAAGATATACAGCAAGGATGAAATTCCCTTAAAAAGCACCAGAGATGAAACAGATTACTTAAAAATGACAATCTGATGATAGAAGAGTTCTCATTTGTAATAATGATAAATTCTAGGAAGACAATGTATTTTGAAATTTAGGCTTATACATTTAAGTAGAGGACTGTTAAAAAATTGTTCTCACCCATTCTTCTTCCTCATCGTTTTTTTCTCCTGAGGTCCCCGCTTGACACAAGGTCTCATGTAGCCCAGAATAGCTTCAAACTGGATATGTAGCTAAGGATGACCCCCTCTCGCCTCAGCAAGATTATAAGCATGTATCATCGTGCCTATCTTCTACTGGTTCTGAAATTACTTATCAGTCATGAGTGGTTCGTGTCTGCAACCCCAGCACTCAGAAAACCCAGACAAGAAAATCACAAGTTTGAGGTCAGCCTGGGCTACGTAGCAAGTTTCAGTCCAACTGATGAGCCTGTTGAAAACACTGCTCAGGTTCCAGGCAATAACTAGGTCTTTGAAGCGCTTCAAGGCTGTGTTAACCTGGAGAGCACAGCTCAGTGAGCAGACTCACTGTTCACTGCATCTGTGTTCATCTCCCTTGGTCTTCAGCTGGCAACAAAGGACAAGCACTGGAACTGGCAGGAAGATTTAATGAAACTCCTGGATTTTAAGTAACTGAGGATTCTTATTGCTTATATTGGTTTCAATCAATAAATAAACCCTAGGCCACTTATTTAGAAAGAAGTAGTTTTGTCCATTTTACACTGCTGGGCTTCACTCTCCATTCAATAGCTCTAGACTGACTTCACACTAATATGGAATATATCTTGATTTTGTCATTCTCACCACAAGTGTGTGTGTGTGTGTGTGTGTGTGTGTGTGTGTGTGTGTGTAGGGAAGCTTTAAAACAGTTTCTCAAGTTGCATGACAAAGTTTCTATCCATTACCCTCCATTTCATAAGTTATTTAAAGAGATATATTCTTAAGCACACATAACTATCTCTTAATGAGAGATTACAGAACTAGGAAGTTTAGCAACAAAATCGCAGCTTGTATAGATTATTATCATTTTATAGTAACATAAGTAAAATTATGACTTTTGATGATTTTCATGACTATCACCTCTGAATATGTGGGTAGTCAACTAAGAACCCTGAAATGAATTAGCCAGACATAAGTGAGAAATAGAAGACAAATTTGTTTCTGATGAAGCTCCCTTTCCCAAAGGAGCTAGGCCTTCACTCTCTATTCTCATCACTCACAGTGTGACTAAGGCATCCTTTCCACAGTAGGAGCTTCCACTCTCCACCCTTTTTTGAGACAGAGTATTGGGATTCTAGGCATGTTCCCCACATATGATGTGGTAATACATTATTTATGATTTAATAAAGATTGCCTGAAGTATCAGAAAGCAAAGCTAGCCACACTAGTTACCTATAGAAGCTAGGCAGTGGTGGCACACACCTTTAATTCCAGGACTCAGGAGATGGCAGATGGAGGTCTCTGAGTTCCAGGCCACCCTGAGCTACACAAGAATAAAGAGTAGCAAAGCTCATGTCTTTGATTCCAGCACTTGGGATCATACTCCTTTAATCCGTACTAGGGAGGTAGAGACAGGAGGATATGGCTGGGCAGAGAAGGGAGGAGGAGACAGGAACTGAGAGCTTTTGCCTCTGAGGATTCATGGAGACAGGATTGCCATTTCAATTTGGTAGAGGTAAGATCTACTGGCTGCTTTGCTTTTCTGATCTTCAGCTTGAAGCTTGAACCCCAGGATATCTCTGAGTAATTTATTATTTATGTTACACATGGAATGCCTATACAAATCTAAAATGGTCGGTCATCTGTGTTGTGGCTACATGCCTGAGATCACAGCACTCCAGTAGTCTGAGGCAGGAGGATTATAAATTTAAAACCATGCTGGACTACAAAGTGAGTTCAAGACCAGCCCAGTTATCTTATCAAGACTTTGTCTCAAAATGGTAACACTCACCTAGTATGCATAAGCCTTTAGGTTTAATCTCCAGCAGCATGAAACAAAAATAAACACACCTAACCACTACTGGTGTATAATGGAATATACTGTTTACAGAAAATAGAGAAAGCAAGTATGTATAGACATGAATTATTTTCATCAATATAGCTTATAAGGTCATTACAAGTTTACCTGAGAAAATGCTTCCTCTTTATCTTCAAGCAGAGATTCGGGTGCTGATAGAAATTCCCTTTTCTCACAGCTCTCCTGGCTGATGAGTGTGTCTGCGTAGTTGGGCTGTGGGAAGATCAGGTGGCTCTTGTGAGAGTCAGCAGTGAGTGAGATCTCATGGGAATAGGTCTGTAGAAATGCATGTACCCCATCAACACCTACAAAGTTGGAGGCAGGAATGTCGGTCAATCCGTTTGTCGTAGTCTGGAGCAAGCGTGAGGAGTACCAGTGTCTCAGCTTGAGCATCAAGAGTACGATGACAAAGGCTAGGAAGATGCAGGAGACTACAGCCACTGCCACCACCAGGTAGAGTGTGAGGTCTGAATCTTGGGGATCGGCAGTGGTCCCAGTGATGCCCAGGTCAGCTAGGACCTCAGGGATGTTGTCAGCCACCGCTACAGTAAATGCGACTGTGGCAGAGAGCGGAGGCTGGCCGTGGTCCTGCACAGACACCACCAGGCTCTGCTTCAGGGCGTCTCTGTCCAGCAGGGCCCGCGCCGTGCGCACCTCGCCCGTGTGAAGCCCGACTGAGAAGAGCCCGGGCTCGCTGGCCTTGAGCAGACGGTAGGACAGCCAGGCATTCTGTCCCGAGTCTCTGTCCACTGCCACCACCTTGGTCACCAGGTAACCAGGTTCAGCAGACCGTGGTGCTAGTTCCACACCAGTGGAACCATCTTTGGGGAGGACAGGGTACAGGATTTCTGGGGCATTGTCATTCTGATCGATCACGAACAGATTCAAGGAGACATTGCTGCTGAGTTGTGGGTTCCCACTGTCACGAGCCATCACTTTTAGCTGCAAATCTCGAAACTGTTCATAATCAAAGGGTTGCAATGAATAGACAACTCCAGTGTCGGAGTTGATGGAGAAGTAAGATGACAGAGGCACTCCCTGAATAGTGTCTTCCACCAGGGAGTAAGTCACTAGTGCATTCTCATTGTGGTCAGCATCATGGGCCTTTACCGAGAAGATGGAAGCCCCTCTGGGATTATTTTCGGGAATGTAGACAGAGTAGGAGTCCTGTTCAAAGACTGGAGGGTTGTCATTGATATCTGCCACTAGCAGTGAGATGTGAGCTTGGGTAGATAGAGGCGGAGATCCCTGATCTGTTGCTGTTATTGTGATGTTGTGCCCAGAGCTATGCTCTCTGTCCAGTGTTCTTTCTGTTACCAAGCGGTAATAATTGTCAACTAACTTTTCCAGTTTAAAGGGTAGGTTTCCAGGAATGGAACATGTGGTGTGACCATTGTTACCAGCATCTTGATCGTGCACACTGATAAGAGCAATTATGGTCCCAGGAGGAAAGTTTTCTGGCACTTGGGTAGTGACAGAGGTGATACCAACTTCTGGGGCGTTATCATTAACATCCAAAACAGTGACCAGGACCTTAGCTCTAGCCATGAGCCCAGCACCATCCTGTGCTTGAATTTCCATCGGATAAACTTCGTATTCTTCAAAATCTAGTGGCTCTTTATTTGTTATTTCTCCTGTGTAAGAATCCAACTGGAATTTCCGGACCACGCTGTGGTCTACGTTGTGAAAAGAGTATGTTACTTTGCCATTAGCTCCCTCATCCGGGTCAGAAGCATTCACCTTGAGTAGCCGAGTGCCTAATGGTACGTTCTCAGGGACACTCACGTGGTACTCTGCCTGAGTAAATGAAGGTGGGTTGTCGTTCACATCTACCACCTGAACACGAATTTGCAGAGTTCCCGAGTGTACTGGGTTACCCCCATCAGAGGCAGTGAGGACAAGGAAGTGGATAGCATCCTTTTCTCTGTCTAGAGGGCTCTGCAGTACCATCTCTGGCTGTTGTGGACCTTCAAGTCCCTGCTGCACTTCCAGGAAGAAGTGAGGGTTGGCGCTTAGCTGGTAGCTCTGAAGTGAGTTTATACCCACATCAAGGTCTTGCCCAAGAGGCAGAGGGATCCTGGTACCTGGAGTTGTTATTTCACTCATTTTTAATTCCAGCTCTTCTAACTGGAATTGGGGGGTGTTGTCGTTAATATCAATTATCTCTACTTCGATAGGAAAAAGCCTCATTTCATCCTCCACCAGGATGTTAAAGTTCACCAGGCAGGGCACGTTCTGGGTGCACAGCTCCTCCCGGTCTATCCTGCCTGCGGTGACCAAGCTGCCGCTTCGCGGGTTCAAAGAGAAAAGCTGCGACCTACCTCTGGAGACGATGCGGATCCCGTGCTGTGTGAGCTCGCTGGGCTCCAGCCCCAGGTCCTTGGCGATGCTGCCCACGAAGGAGCCTTTGTCGGTTTCTTCTGGCACAGAGTAGCGGATGTTTCCAGCGTCCGCTTCCAATAGTAGTTCCAGAGAAAGGCACAGCAGTGTCAGCCGGCTCCAGCCGGTTCGCTTCTCTGGAATCGCCATTGCTCTCTGGCTTCCTACTTTACTCTCAATCTGTTAGCAAGGGTATTGTTTTTCTGCTTTTCCAGGGTCTTCTTTACCTTACTATTTAAAATAATTACAGCAGAGAGATTTCCAGAAATATGCTGAGCAGTCGCAGGCAGACATTTTCAGTCTGGTATGGTGGAGAGTGTAAGAGTCACACTTTTTTTTTTCCCTCTAATTGGGCGGGTAGTTAGAGCATGCATCCCCCAGGTTGGTGAACAGCGGCGCCCAGAGTCCTATCAAGTTACTGCACTCCTAGGAAATGCATCTTTTTAAAGTCCTGGTTTACTGTCAGGGAAATAGTTAACTTTTTTTTTTTTACAATGATATGTATGTATGCACTTGCATACGTGCACACACATATGTATTATATGTAAAGAAGAAATAACGTTCACTTCCTTGTAGATAATTTGTTAAATTGCATGTCCTGGAGAACTCAGTAGTCCAAATTATGTTTTCACTGTGTGCTATTGAAGAATCAAAGAGCTCTCTAACCATAAAGAGGAGAAAAATCAGCCTTCCATTTATTCTGTTGTATAGCTTGACCATCTGATAATTTCCTGGGCCACAAAGAGAAGTTTGGGGGATGAAAAAATATTGGAAGGGGAGAAATCAACTTTCAGACTTCAAGGTAGAGTTTCAAAATCTGGACCACTCCAGTTTCCTTTGAATATTTTCAGAATCCTGGGATTTTTTTGTTTTGTTTATCGACAGGGTTTCTTTGTGTAGCTTTGGAGGCTGTCTGGAACGTGTAGACGAGGCTGGTCTGGAACTCACAGAGATCCACCTGCCTCTGCCTCCTGAGTGCTGGGATTAAAGGCATGCGCCACCATCGCCCGGCTAGAAACCTGGGATTTTGAAGACCATTTTCAACCATATCCTTATTCCCCTCTTTCCTGAAGGAGCTTGTTAAGATCTAAAATTCCCCCAATATATTTTGGAAAGATTAAAACTGGGGTCTTGGAATCTTATTACAAATATCACATGAATCTATAATTTAGACTTTAAACTCAAAAGAGAGAGAAGTTGTGATATTATTCTTCATAGATGAAAAAGGCACATTTTTATTTTTAGGGAGGCTGTAGGAATAACTGCTGTTCGACACTCATGCATTATATTCTCTAAGAGAAGGTGGCTTTCTTAAATAGCTGCATCTATCAAATAGAATGATGAGGGTGTCACTTCTATTCATTGTTTGGAGATGCTGTGGCAGTTGCCCACCTCGGCTCATTTCAGGCTGGCTGGCAGACACGCTGTAGCAGCCATGGAGCTCAACACCAGGTCCTTTCATTATGAAGGTCAAAGTAGGCAAGGAAGATATGTTAGCCACTGGGTTTGCAGAAATGGAGACCAGCTCCCGAGAAGTGCCTTCTACAGAACAGAAAGGCATCCCACTCTGCTACTGGATCCCGGTGGAGGGGAGTTCTTGGAAGGTTCAGAGTCCTTTAGAGCTTGGAATAGAATATTTAGAATGGTGAGTGAGGTTGAAGATGTGGTCAACAAACTGACAACCGAAATAAATGACTTGGATCTCAGCTTGAAGAAAAGCAGGAACAATCTGAGAAGCCAGAGGTGTAACTTCCCAACTTCATGCCAGTTCTGAAGTCTTGGTTCATTACAGAAGAGAACTTTCAGCTAACACCGTTCCTTCTGCTAACAGTGCTGTGGTGATAGGTCATTGTGTGAACTCGTCTCCTTTATCCTGAGCATCGTCTCAGCTTTCAGATCAGTTGCAGTAAGGGCAAACTTTTGCTGACCGTCACACATTCTGAACTACTACGGGATTACATTCAGTGAAAGATATGTTCGTCAGCTAAGTGAAATGCTGGCAGGCATGGAAAGTTGCTTAGGATTTTGTTCAAAAACCATGAAATGGGAGAAAGGCGGTTGATAGCACATTGATTTAAACACAACAACGGCAATGAAACAGAAGAGTGAGAGTGAAAGCACAAGGAGAAAACAATTGAATAGATTCCAAAACAATTAGAAGAGAGGTGTGAAGATCTGAGAGGGATGTTTAAAACTCTGGTGCCACCAGCTGCTTGGAATCATTAGTTTGCCCATGGTAGTGGTTGAGAGGAGAATGGGAGTCACTCCTTCCAAAGCCAACGGGGCAGCCTAATGGTAAGAGTGTTCCTGTGAAGTCACTGCTTTTGTTCGTTATGAAAGTCCATAGTAAATCATTTAAAACCACATGAAAAAAACAGTATATATGCTATAAATTATACATGTACATATATACACACATTTCCTGACATTGTATCACATTCTGAGTCCTGACCCACATACCACAGTGGCATGACACCTCATGATGCTTTGCTGATCTCTGAAATATTTACACTAAGAAGTTCATTCCAAGGTCAGAACAGTCCCTAGTGTTGGGGATAGAACAACATCACAGGCCCCTAGTGATGGTTAGAACCCCTTCAAGGAGGACAGACACTAAGGCAAGACTTCCAAAACTGAACCTCCATCTGCCTGGAGGTGCCATGCTGGGGTCAGTGGGGTTTGGCGGCAACTCCCCACCTCATGGCAGGGACCAGGTACAGTGTAGTGACTGCCTACCACACAGGCCTCGCAGGGTCTGTCTCTGAGACCGTGAACAGTGCGGCACACACTTGGCTGTGTGAGACCCCAGGTTGAAGAACCACGTCAGTTGGTTTGAAATATATGACAGGACACTTAACTCTTGTGCTTGAAGTTGGCGTCTGCTTTTGTCAGCAAGTAGGCAGGCTCCATAGTGCGCATTACAGTGCCTTACGTAGGTGAAGCGCTTGACAAAGCACACTCCTTGTGTGCTAGGATGGCACTGAGCCCGTCAAACCCTGGTTATCATGCTGAATCAATTTAAAGGCAGTCTCCCAGGATACTCCGGAAACCTACACTCGCTGACACAGTGCAATAGTACTTCTTGGTGCAAGGTCAGGAAGAAACAGGAATTATGAAAGATTCCTAAGCTTTGCTCAGAAGTGTTAAAGTATTCATTGGGGGCTTGGGTGAGTGTTCCCAGTCCCTTGGCACAAGGCACAATGGTCCACATCTGTAATCCAGCACTCAGGAGGCAGAGACAGAAGAAGGATTATAAATTTGAGCCAGGCTGTGCTACACAGCAAGACCCTGTCTCAAGAAAAATAAGGGGCCAGGATGTGATTCAGTATGAAACACTTGCCCCACACAGAAAAAGCCCCAAGTCCAAACCTCAGCACCACACAGAGAAAAGGGAGAAAAGGAAACAATGACTCCTCTGAGAAGAACCACTCTGACTGCTTTTTGGTTTTGACAGCATTTCACTTTGTAGCCCAGGCTGGCCTTAAATGCTTGGTCTTCTTGCTCAGCCTCCTGGATGCTGAGGTGACAGGCCTGCATCGTCACTCCCTGCAAGCAGAGCCCTTTTGTCCTGGAAATGCTCAAGTAACGCTTGTGATGGAGAAAAGGGACGGGTCATCCCTGTGAAGGCACTGAAGGCAAGAGTGTACCTTAGGGTCTGCTCCCATTAGGGTCCCAACTGTCAGTAGGTGAACTGTTAGTGGGATCATTCCTTCTGCAATAATTCTCACCTCTCCATTTAAGCAAAGCTCTGGGTTCCGCTGTTTGATTGCTAATAGCAGTTCTTACCTGCGGATGCCTGGTTTGCAGTGGCCTGTGCTCCACTGTAGTTCTCTGTTCCCTTTCAGCTGGGACTTTGAAAACGGGTCTTTAGAGTACCTCCAATCTTCCATCCAATCTAAATCAAGCATTGCTGCAGTCTGGAGGCAGTAGATCTATTCTGTATGAGCTGTGACACTGTGTGGAAATAACAGAACTCTACCTTAAGGATGTCAATGAGGATCACCTCGAATGCCATACAGGCGAGGATGGGTTCTTCGGCCCGGCAAAGCTGTGGGTCAGCATCCAAGGTCTGACAATGGCTCTCGGCTTTGTCTAGAGCTGTCCTGCCCCGTGAACGTCACTGAGGAGTGGCAGTCCTGTTCCTCTGGCCCGGGGTTTCTGTAGTAGTAGTAGTTCATTTCTGGGATCAGGCAGGATGGTCGCTGACAGTTACTGATACATTTGTAGAGGTATTCTCAGCGTCTGAGTCTTTAAACGCTGCTATTAAGATGCTCTCCAGAATTCCCATAAAGGCCTATGCCACATGCCGCTGCTGTCATTTAAGTCCAAGATGGTTCTGTCTATATGATTTCCGGTAGATGTCATTTTCGAATTAGAGTGGCTTTCGTAATTTCTCTGGTGGATCTGCTGCATCGATCCGGTCGTTCTCAAGATGGAGTAGCTTTCAGCACTCACCCTCAGATTCCCCACGCTCAGCCTTCTTTTCGAGTCACGCCGTGCAGCTGGGACTTGGCTCTCGGATCAGAACAAAGACTGCAGGATGGAGGCGGCGCTTCTTGCTCCCTGCGCGCGTGCCCCGTGGGCGACTTTCTATCCACGCAGCTGCTGAGATGTGGATTCACTGTAGTTGCTCCCAGCTCGCCAGGAAGGAAAAGGCAGCACCGTACCGTCATTAAACACCCTGGAGATGATGACCAGAATGCTGCAAGCGGAGAGCAGGAGAAAGGGCGACGAAAACCAGGAGGTTGAAGCAGAGCGCAGGGAGACCGTGCATTTCTAGGACGGGTTTGCGAAAGCCCGGGGGATCACTGGGTCAGAATGGCCACTGACTGCACGACAGCGGCACCCAGAGGTCCAGCGCGGTACCTACCGCACACCGCTTCCGAAAGTCCTCACAAGATGCCCCTTTGCTTCATTTCCTGGACTTGTTTTGGAGTTACCGGCTACCTTAATGTGAAGAGTACAGATGGTAGTTTTTGGTAAAGTATTAATAAAACCGTCGTTTCACAAAATGTAAACGAAGTAATCTAATCTATTACAGGTCGATTTAAGAACCCTCATACAATTTCCCCTCGATTTTGTTTTCCCGTGGTGCTGAGGATCAAAGCGCATGCCCAGACAAATGGTGTACTTACAGCTGTATCATATCCCGCCCTTGGCGCTCATTTTTGAAGATACACTACTGAAAAACTTTTCTTTGAAAAACAAGGGGCGGGGGGGGGCTACATGTTAGGCATGAGTGTAATCTCAGCACTCAGAAGATTTGCAACCGACAAGTTCGAAATTAGCCAGGTCTACACAGATAATTCCAAGTTAGTCTGGGTGACATAAAGAGACATTATCTTAACAAAAAATGTTCTCTTTACTAGAGAAATTATCCGCTGTTAAAATACAATTCCTAGAGTCGAGGAGACAGGTCAGTGGGTAAAACAGCTTGCCGGGCAAGCATGAGGACCTTACTCTAAATGGCTAGCAGCCATGTAAACTGCTGATGGCAACATTGGCTCCGGCAAACTCAGCACTGTGCCGGGCGGAGAGAGGAGATCATTCCTACCTGACAACCTAGCTCCAGGTTCTTTGACAGATCCTGACTCAGGGTGAAACAGGGAGAGCAACAGGATAGGATATTGTACAACTTCTTCTGGCCTTCGCATGTATGTTACGGGCAGATGAGGGCCTGCAAACACTGACACACACACACACACACACACACAATTCTTAGTGTAAATTCAAGTACAAAATTTTTTGTATAAAACATTGGAAACACTTATAAAAATTAAAACTACTTAGAATTGCATTAATTTAAAAATTTACCTTAGATGTCTATCTCAATGCTTCCAATATACATACACTTTAAAAATTCTCCAAATAATCTAAGCTCTTTCATGGGTATTATTAGTTAGTCATACACCTTTTCTAAAATATATAGTTTAGATGTCAACTGTCAATACACCCTGTTGTGGAGTATCCATGAGTCTTTATTAGCTAGCCAGCAACCACACTGGAGCCTTTCTCAGGGAGAGCTTTTAAGCACAATAAATATTTTCTGGGTTGACATACTTCAGTTAACAAGAATAGTTAGCAAGAAGCAGAACCACAGATGCCTGATAGCAAGGATAGTACATTTAGAGACTTTCCCAGAACTATGCGCTTTGATGGACTAGGTCTTTGTTTACTTTTGGGCAGGTGGTGTTGTCTGTGTGCTGATTTACATGGCCTGAATGGTACTCTCATCATGGAGTCAGTTGTGCTGAGGTCTGGGGCCCTGTTACACACCCAGAGGGAAGATGAACCCATTTACAATGTGTTGGTTCTGATAAATCTAAAGCAATAATGAGAAACTTAGTTTTTAAAATAACTCTTAGGATTATATGCTTAAAATTATAACCCTAGGGTATTTTCTCAATCTTGGAATTATTTTGAGCTATATAATTCTTTTATATCTGAAACACGGTTTCTCTGTGTAGCTCTATAGACCAGGCTGGTCTCAAACTCACAGAGACCTGCCTGCCTCTGCCTCCTGAGTGCTGGGATTAAAGGCATGTGCCACCACTGTCTGGACAGCTAGATAATTCTTTATTATGTGAGTGTGTGGAGAGGGGAGCTGTTTTGTGTTACGTTGAACATTATTTCCAACCTTCTTTCACTACATGTCAGTAGATCCTACTTTGCCAACTGTGACAACCAAAATTTTTGGACATAAATGAAGATCACCTTCTTTCAGCCACTGTCAGAAACATAGGTTTACTGTATTTATGAGCTGAGTACTGTTGAGCCAAAGATAGGTATATGACCATCTTAGTCAAATGAAATCAAAAGGCAGACTCTCCCAGAGTTCAATCCCAAGAACCACAACAAATGCCATTAACTAAACAACTAAACAAACAAGTTAATGAAATGATTAATCTTGATATTCAACTTGGTTGCATCTGGAATCCAATAAAACCCAAGCTGCTGGGAAGTTTTCTGAGAGATATTTTGGATTAGATTAGCCTCTCTTGTGAGAGACAGCCATTGTTAGGTTACTCTAACCACATCCTGCAATTCCATGTAATTAATTCCCCTTTAATACACACACACACACACACACACACACACACACACACACACACACACTTCTGTTAGCCAATCCTGATTAATACAGTAAGCAAATAAGCAAATAAGGCTTTGGAAGAGTTACTCCCTCAACTCATGAACAAGGGTGGAAGTTCCCCACAGACACTGGAAGGTAACTGGTGACCATGGCTTGTGGAAGTTTATAAGCACAAGGAGCAGAGCTGAAAGAACAGTAGAAAAGGCACAGACTCTTCAAAATCAGAAGAGAAAAACAGTCCGTATTAGGTCATGTACAGAGGCAGCTATATTATACTTCAAGATCTGAACCCTCCAATCAGTAACCCTCAGACACGTAGGGTGACTGAGCACTTGGTGTGTGGCTAGTGTAAGGTGGGATGTGTTCTAAGTGTAAAATACACCCTAGATTTTGAAGATTTAATTCAAAGAAAGAATGTAAAGCATGTTATTAAAATTTTTCACATTGGGCTTTATTACACTTACATTTTAGAAACATAGTTTAGTCATTTTCAGTTGCTTGTTTTCATCGATTTATTGGGTTATCAGATAATATTTAGTTAAGCAGTCTTGGGTAATGTTAATAAAGCTCGTAACATTGCACATGCTAGGCAAAGCGCTCTGTCACAGAGCTCCTTCTTCAGCCTCTAAAGATTTAAAACTACTGATCTGGACCCCCCAAATGTGAGTGTCAGTGAGAAGGCCTGGGCAACCCATGGGGCCCTGAGCTGTGGATCAGTGTCTATCCCTGGTATACAAACTGTCTTCATGTGCCTATAGCACAAAGAGAGATGCTCTCTCAGCCTGGACTCTTAGGGGAGTGCCTTGACCCTACCAAGAGTAAAATGACAGACTCTAGATATCCCCTATGTGGAAGGATTTGGCAATAGGGTGGGAGGGAGGGGGGAAGGGGAGTGCGGGAAGAGGGGAGGGAGAGGGAACTGGGATTGACATGTAAAACAAGCCATTTAAAATTAAAATAAAAAATGATAAAAAACAAAAAAAACAAAAAAAATAAATTTTATTTAAATTAGAAACAATGTTATTTTAGATATCAATCCCAGTTCCCTCTCTCTCCCGTCCTCCTATATCCTTACTGATCCTCCCCATCCCATCTCCCATCCACTCCTCAGGGAGGGTGAGGCCTTCCAAGTGAGATCATCAAAGTTTGTCAAGTCATTTAGGGCAGGGCCTAGGCCCTCATGATCTTTAGGTACCTGTGGTGCTGACCACACCCATTTGGGCATGGACACAAGTACCTTAAAGATCTCTCCCTACACTCCCCCAGTGTGTCTTGTTTAAGAGAATTTCCCTCCATGGGGAGTGGGCTCCTGAAATCCATTCATGCACTAGGGATAAACACTGGTTCCACTGACAGAGTTCCTATAGACTTCCCAGGCCTCCTGGATGACACTCATGTTCAGGGGGCCTGGTTCAGTCCTGTGTTAGTTACCGGCTGTCAGACTGGGGTCCGTGAGCTCCCACTTGTTCAGGTCAGCTGAGATAACTTGCTTTTTAACTTTTAAAATATATGGTGATTTAGCAATACAAATGTCTTCTTTTGGGTAGAATGTTTGCTATTTCCTCACTGTGGTGGCTATTTGTAGGTTGTCAACTTGACTATTTCAGGAATTAACTAAAACCCAAAAAATGGAGGGGCATATCTGTGAGGGTTTTTTGTTTTTTCTCAATTTGAATTGGGAAGATTCACTTCTTATATGGACTTTTGAGGTGAGAAGACACACCTTTAGTCTGGGCCACACCTTCCGCTGGCAGCCCTTATAATTACATAGAAGAAGGAAGCTCTTGCTGTGACTGCTTGCTCTCTCCTGCTAGCAAATCTGTTCCTTCACTGTTGTTAGAGTCCACTTCTTCTGGATTAAGGTATATACTGAAGACCAGCCTCATGAACTGAACAACTACTGGATTCCTGGATTTTTCTTTCAGAGACAGTCATTGTTGGATTAACTGAACCATAGTTTGTAAATCATTCTAATAAATCCCCTTTATATATATGGGAGAGAGACAGAGATTCATTCAATAAGTTTTGTTACTCTAGAGAACCTCGACTAATACACTCACTCCTAAAAATTTTAATTACAAAATACAGGCATGACCTTCCCTCCCTGGGGGAGCATACACACCCCAGCTTCCTGGTCTTCTTCTCTACTCTAAGGACCAGGCAAACCAGGGCCTGTTTCTGGGCCCGTTTCAGTGCCTGGGGACTGCTACTGAGTCTCCCTTTCCAGAGGGAGCCAACCCATCCCAGCCTCCTAGTCTCCTTCTCCACCCATGGGACCAGGACTAGGACCAGGAAGAGGAGAACTACCAGAGTATTGAGCTTGCTTGCACCCACTGGAAGGGAGCCCTGGTCCCCTACCCACTAGGCCAGGAAGAGGCTATTTCTGCAGCCATTAGAAGAAGGGATGGGAAGGAGACAATACAAAAACACACTCAGCAACAGAAAAACAAATATGACACCACCAGAGTCTAGAGACTCTACACCAGCAAGACTCGGACACTCCAATGCAAATGAAGCAGAAGAGAATTACCTTAAAAACAGCTTCATGAAAACGATAGAGGCCCTCAAAGAGGATATGTGAAAATCCCTTAAAGAAATGGAAGAAAAAACATTCCAAAAATGCAACTAATGGAGGAAGAGACAAAGCAAAAATTGCAAGAAACAATTCAGTGAAAGGGTTGAAAGCTGAACTAGAGACAGCAACAACAACAAAAAAAACACAGTCTGAAGGAATGTTGGAAATAGGAAAGCTGGGCAAATGGTCAGGCACTACAGATGCAAGCATAACCAACAGACTAAAAGAGATGGAAGAGAGAATCTCAGGTGTTGAAGACACACTATGAGAAAGAG